GCTGTGGGTCCGGAGGTGAAACGAGTGGGTAAGGTGGGTTTGGGACTGATCTTTTCACTGTATTGCTTATAACTTGCTATTCTGAGGGTGAAGACGGCATTCGTATCACATGTGAATCGATGGCTGGGACTGATTATCCTGATGATCGTAAATTGTTATTTTTAGTTTGTGATGGCATAATTACTGGTAGTGGGAATGAAAAAAGTACACCGGATATTTGTGTTAATCTAATGGAAATTGAACAAGGTTTTGAAGATCCAAATCCTCAAAGTTATATTGCTATCGCTGCTGGAAATAAACAGCACAATATGGCAAAAGTTTACGCGGGATATTTTCGTGAGTCTATATTTTAATATTTTTGATATTAAATATTTTTTTTTTAGCATAAATTTTCATAAATTTTTACATACATATACATATATAGCATATGAAAATCATCGTGTTCCAATGATTGTTGTTGTTAAATGTGGTAATCCAGATGAACAAAATTCGCCAAAACCTGGGAATCGAGGAAAAAGAGATTCTCAATTGATATTAATGAGTTTCTTTAGTAGAGTTACCTACAATGATCGTATGTGTGCTTTAGATTATGATTTGTTTGGAAAAATTCATCATCTGATGGGCGTGACTCCAGATTTTTTTGAATTGGTTTTGATGGTTTGTTGAAACACACAAATATTTCCCTTTTATTTATTTATTTTATTTTTCGCTCTTAACATAAAATGGTTTTACTTCCCCATTTTAAAAAAAAGGTGGACGCTGATACAAAAGTTTATTCAGATTCTCTAAGACTTTTGGTTAACTGTATGTGTAACGACCAATTAATTATGGGTCTATGTGGCGAAACTAAAATTGGCAACAAACGTGATTCATGGGTCACTGCAATTCAAGTATTTGAATATTATATATCGCATCATTTGGGTAAAGGTTTTGAATCAGTATTTGGTGGTGTGACAACCTTATTTTCGACCCTATTTCAACCAGATCTGCAAATGGTTGAAATAGTTTCGACTTCATGTATAGTACATATTATACAAAGTATTTCACAGAATTAAAACGTAATTCACATCTCCTGAACAAAATTCGCCAAAACCTGGGAATCGAGGAAAAAGAGATTCTCAATTGATATTAATGAGTTTCTTTAGTAGAGTTACCTACAATGATCGTATGTGTGCTTTAGATTATGATTTGTTTGGAAAAATTCATCATCTGATGGGCGTGACTCCAGATTTTTTTGAATTGGTTTTGATGGTTTGTTGAAACACACAAATATTTCCCTTTTATTTATTTATTTTATTTTTCGCTCTTAACATAAAATGGTTTTACTTCCCCATTTTAAAAAAAAGGTGGACGCTGATACAAAAGTTTATTCAGATTCTCTAAGACTTTTGGTTAACTGTATGTGTAACGACCAATTAATTATGGGTCTATGTGGCGAAACTAAAATTGGCAACAAACGTGATTCATGGGTCACTGCAATTCAAGTATTTGAATATTATATATCGCATCATTTGGGTAAAGGTTTTGAATCAGTATTTGGTGGTGTGACATGTTTGCCAGGTTGTTTTTGTATGTATCGTTTCAAAGCTCGTAAAGGTGATAATGACTGGGTTCCTATCATAGCAAATCCAGAAATCGTGCAAGAATATAGTCAAAATGAGGTCAATACACTTCATCAAAAGAATTTATTATTATTAGGAGAAGATCGTTTTTTGACAACTCTTATGCTTAGACATTTTCCTAATCGTAAAATGACATTTTGCCCTCAAGCTATTTGTAAAACAATTGTGCCAGATGAATTTAAAGTTTTATTATCTCAACGTCGTAGGTGGATCAATTCAACAATTCATAATTTAATGGAACTTGTTTTAGTTAGAAATCTTTGTGGAACTTTTTGTTTCTCAATGCAATTTGTGGTTTTCATGGAATTACAAGGAACAATTGTGCTGCCTGTTGCCATCATGTTAACTTTCACACTGATCATCTCATCAATCTTAAATCCGCCACATGATTTTGCTGAATCAATACCTTTATTGATGTTGGCTGCTATACTAGGTCTACCAGCTATATTAATTTTAATTACTACTCGTAAACTTGTTTATATTGCTTGGATGTTGATTTACTTGTTAGCTTTGCCAATTTGGAATTTTGTTTTACCAACTTATGCTTATTGGCATTTTGATGATTTTTCATGGGGCGAAACTAGGTTCGTATTATAATAGTATTAATATAGTAATTAAGAAATATTAATTTTTACAATTTTTATTATGAAAAATTTAGAAAAGTTGAAGGTGAAAGTAAAGGAGATGATCATGGTAAAAAGGAGGGACAATTTGACAGATCGAAAGTTCCGTTGAAAAGATGGGAAGATTGGGAGCGTACTAGAATTCGTAGAATTAAACGCAAAGAACGTCAACGACAACAATTAGAAAGTGGCTCCATACATTTAACACATCTAAGTATGGCCAGTGAAGAGGATGTTAGTTTAATTCCTCCAAATTCATCACATTACGACGATGATGAAACATCATCAATCAAGTCAGGTGCAACACATGATCTCGGTCCACAACAACAATATTATGAATATTCTGGTAGTGGTGGTGGTGGCGGTAGCGGCAGTCTCTCACAAGCATACGGTGATGGAAACCAAGAATATGAACAACAACCACCATCATCACAACCACAATATCAGCAGCAGCAGCAACAACAACAAATTGACGATTTGTTATTTGACAATAATAATGATAATAATCGCCAACGATAAAAAATATTTATTTATTAATTTTCATAAAAACATTTGTATATACGTATGTTATTTTAGATTATTTATTCCTTTATTTACTACACCTCCTTTTCCTCTAGTAGATGAAGGTATTGGTGATGATGATGATGATGATGATGATGATGATAACGACAACGTTCGCTTTTCATTTTCATTTGTTGCTTCATTATCAGAGATTGCACTTATTTTTTCCAAATATTTTTCTTTTTGATTGTTTTTACATTTTAACGGTGAATTCTTTAAAGCATATAATTTATGAAATGTTTCTAATGTTTCAGATGACTTAAATTTTTTTTATAATTATTGTATATTTTAGTAAACAAATGTTAAGAATAATATTTTTCCAACAATTTTATTCCGACTTACATCATAATCATAATATTTCATTTTTTTCCATTTTTCTTCATCGTTAAATCGTTGTGCATTTGTACGAACATTTTTCTTTATTGATGATTTTTCTGTATTTGTTTCTGTGTTTTTCCCCTTAAAAATCATTTATAATGAAGACTAACAATTTAGAATGAATGTGTATTTATATATATATATGAGATTCACTATTGTTACTAAGTAACCTTAACTTTTCCTGTAATTTTTGTTTTGCTTGATCCGATAATAAATTCATCAGTTGATTGTTTGTTTCCTCCGTTAATGCTTCCAAATTCATTATTGGTATCTTCTTCCTCCATAGCTTGAGCTTTTTTATTAGCATTTTTTTGTTTCTCGTCTATTTTATCTAAATATTTTAATCCTGGACGTAATTGAAAAGTTGAACGAATAGGCGTCAAATGAAGATTGCCTAATTGAAGAGAATATAGTTAATTAATTGGTTACAATATTGATTCCAAATTCATTATTGGTATCTTCTTCCTCCATAGCTTGAGCTTTTTTATTAGCATTTTTTTGTTTCTCGTCTATTTTATCTAAATATTTTAATCCTGGACGTAATTGAAAAGTTGAACGAATAGGCGTCAAATGAAGATTGCCTAATTGAAGAGAATATAGTTAATTAATTGGTTACAATATTGATCAATTAATCATAAGAATAAATAATCATCACCATCTTTAACTACCCCCATCCAGTAATTGGCTTGTTGAGGAACAATTGTAGATTGTAAAGTTTGTCGATCTAATAATCCTTCACTTTGATCTCGGCGCCATGTTCTATCATATATTGTTTTTGCTTCTTTATCATTAAGCCCTAATGCTAAATCCTTTCCTCTTTCATGATCATACCATTTTGAATTTGTTTGAAGTGGAATGTCCAATTCTAATTTTACAGAATCCTGTTTAAACCGTGCTTCACAAGGAGCATTGATTCCAGTGTAAGGATTATTATGTGGTCTCACAGGATGCTGGACTATGTATAAATTATTACTAAGTTGTTGCGATAAAAAAATAGGAATCTCTTGTACAATGTCATTAGAATCAAGATTCGGTTCACTCATATTCAAAAATTGTTGAATTTTTTGTTATTACATATCCGCCAATTTGCGCACCCATTTTGGGGTACAAAAATATGGAAAACAATAATCTGGGGATCATATAGAAATTTTCCTAATCGGGAATAAATTTTTTAATTTTGTAAAAAAAATTATTATTTAAAATTTTAATAACTTCCTTTATTTGTAGAAGAATTTGTAATTTTTCCATTCCCCTCTACTATTT